CGCCAAATGACTTTTTAAATTATTTTTACTGACGTCCCATAACCGCTAGACCTGCCTTCCCAAAAATTTAATCAGTTCATCTTGTCAATACAAGTAAAATATTTTAAATTATTAAAATCGGCTCCATTTTCTTAAAACTGAGTTACTCTTTTTGCCCTTATCTTCGGAACGGCCAGACATGCCTTTCGCCAAAAACTAATCAGGACGTCTCCTTATCGATACGAATCGAATGTTTTTTGAATTATTCAAATCAGATCGGTGCCCCGAAATCGTCGACGAAAATTTGTATCCACGCGCACACACACACACACATACATACATACATACACACATACACACATACACATACACACATACATACATACATACATACATACATACATACAACATAACAACACAAACCATCCATTTGTTCTAAGGTATGCCAAAATATTCAAAACCGAAAGATATATAAAAGCGTACAACGTAAAAAACTTATAGAAACGTAAAGATATATAAAAATGTTCATTTTCGATTTTTTTGCGATTACTATAACTTGCCCTACAGGAAGTTAATAAAAGTTTTATCTGCTGTTTGATATGGCTTCGACTCTAAGACGTTGTGTGCATAATTCAGATAGTTTTGTTACATCTGTGATTAATATGTTTTCGACAAATACCGGAACCCTATGTCTAACTGCGTAAAAATATAGAAAAATATATATAAAATAATTTAAATATATAAAAATATTTCAACAACTTTAAAACTGAATTGCGCAATGAAGATAAAACGTGGGTGGTTCATACTATGTGAAAAAATTACGCAGTGTGCTTAAATTATTATCTAGAAGAAAAAAGAAACGCTATAATTTTAATGCCGCCATCATTTAGAAAAAAAACCTCAGAATCACTATGACGATTGTTTCTTCTGTGTGGTAAATACCAATGAAAGAAATTCAGACAATAGAAGCAAATGGGCATAAACCACAACTACAATGGTATTGAGCTAATGATGAACAACCTAGAACATGAACAACTCCTGCTTACCAAATAATGGATGCAGAAACCAAAGTTAAAAGAGAAGACAGGAGGAATTAAAAACTGATAAATTTGATGTAATTGATTTGAATTCATCACCCGCACTCTTATTCAGAACGGTTTTTGTAAAATTTTGGAGATATTAACAAAGAGCAGGGTGAGAGAATCCACCAAGACATCAGGACTTTGGAGGAGCGATAATAAGGAAGATGGGATATCCACATGATGGCTGACAAATGTTAAAGCTTATGACAAAATCAGTCAAGCCTTATACAGACTCAAAAATAATATGAAAAGTCTTTTGAAAGCATGAAATGAAATATGTTGTATTTTTTATTGTAATTTGAGGTAAAACTTTCAAAAACTAGAGCTGTTAGCAAATTTTTGTTACTGTTTTCGGAACCATCATAACATCACGAGAAAAATCTTTAGTGTCGTAACATGTTATATATCAATATTAACCCTTTTCGGTCGTTCGTCCACTCTCAGCCACCACACAACGAACTATACGAATCGTCATCTGCAAGCATTCATACAGCATGCAGTGATTAGAAAACATTACTTTTATACAATAACAATTCTAAATAAATGTATTAAATTAAAATATATCTAAAGTTTACAAAACAATTATCAAATGTTGTTTACACATTGCGTGTTCTGTTCAATCGACGGAAAATAATTGCGAGTACTATGATACCCATCTCAAAATTTAATATATATGATGAATTTATGTTATTTGTATATTTACAAAATAGTATTTACTTTTATAACCATGGATTAATAAAAAAGCCATGTCTCATGAAAAATATGAGAATGTACTGCGTTCAAATAAAAATTGATAAAGGGTATAACTCCAGCTATGAGCCTTACAATAATTCATAAGCAGATTTTTACTAAAATATTGTGAATATAAAACAGTTAACAACAGTTCGAGCAAGGGAGTTGTTTAATGAAACATGTATAACTGATTTCCACAAGATCATAAATGGAAAACAGAAAAAAACAATAATTTATTAATAAATAGTAAATTTGTTTTTAGTATTCAAAAAAATTGATAAAAAATCACAGTGCTGGTACGAATTAAAGCCATTTCAATGTACAGTCAACCCTCGGTTAACGCGGCAAGTTCGTACCGTGCAGTATGGTAACCGTGCTATGAGCGACTCAGAGATAGTACAAATCGCACCAATTTTAGCATGCTGTATGAAGACTAAGAAATACATCTTGAAGTAAGAGTAATACGAACGAAATGGCATGTATGACATAGACAACTCTCATTCAAAAATTGGCGCGACGCAGTAGTCAGTTCAAACGTGTTCTTAGACAGCTTTTATATAATCATGCATGTTTAAAAGATAGAAGTCGATAACAAAACTTACATTAATACCCTTTTGTTATCAAGTCCCTATAATCACTCATAGGTTGCGCAAGGAACGTATGGGCTGTTGAACAAAAACCGTGTAATAGGAAGTCCGTGTAGTCGAAGGGATGTCGGATTTTTAGCTCCGCGTAATATGGGAAGCGTGCACACAGAGTGCCGTGTTAACCCTATTTATATGGAAAAAATTGTTCCGAGATACGAGTGTAATTATAGAACGAATTAAACTCGTATGTCGGAGTATCACAGTAAATAGAATCACCTTTAGTTAACCTCTCCAATTCTCTAGTGACTATTAAATTAAGACCATACTTTTGTTGAATTTTTTGTACGTTTTCTGCAACGTCATGGACAAATGCTAGTTGTTCTTTTTTAAAATCTTCACTTAAACAATCATAATCTGAACTGCTAATAAGTTCTTTATAATAATCTAATATTTCATTGTATCTTAGTGTTGGTTCATCTCTACATGGATTTCTGGCTTTAACATCTTCCAGAACTCTACTCAGATCAACAGGTCTGTCCTTTCCTGAAAAAAATTATTTAAACTAAAATTCATAGTAATATAAAAGTGACAAGATAATAGAAAATTATCCTTATTAACATGCCAAAGAAAATATATATTTTTGACAAAAAATATGATTTGTTAATTCTTCAGTTTTAACATCCAACATATATTTTCGTTAATTCTTCAGTTTAACATATAAATTAGAAAAAAGTATGTGTGGGTATCATCAATAAAGAGGTGTAATTTGCATTATTACTTTAAGGCAAGATGCATAAACCTGATATGTGTAATAATAGACTTAATCAACCAAAATTGAGATTTAGCTATTTAGATGAAATAACAATTTGTTTCTAAAATAAAGTTTTCTCTTTCACTAAGAACAAAATATTGCCATTTTCAATTGATACCTCTCAAACATATTCGTGAGTGTTTTAATTCTATTATTTATAGTGCACAAAGAAGTGCTTATATGTACTAAAATAATAAGCGCCTACAATTCTACATTTTAATAAATCTATATCATTCAACCAATTTTCGTAGAACTGTTTAGTGTTCAGTGCATAAATTTTATCGCCATATTAAATTTATTAAAAACGCCAAAACAATTTTTAATTCCATAAACTCTTAGAAAAGATACAATTTATCACTCCAAGGCCAGGACTTCGATCCAATAGATTAATCTATGCAGCAAAATCCTCAAAAAAGTACGTGCATAATAGCTCTTTAAATAGACTAGCCAAAGAAGTCAATGAGTATTGCGGCAGTTTGAACTTTTTCGATATGCGTCAACAAAGTTTTGAGGCTAACATAAAGAAAAAACTTAAACACCACAATATTTTGTGCAACTAATTATTTCACCAAAGTCATATTATTTAACCAAAGTATTATTTTATGTTACTTAATTATCATAGTTTTTTATAAAGTCTAAGTGTATGTATGTGTATGTATTTATGTACTTATATGTGAATGTGCATATATGCGTATGTATGTATATGTATGCGTATTATATGAGTATATATGTATGTATATCTGTACGTAAGTAGATGTGTATGTATGTGTATATGTATGTATGTATATATATATATATATATATATATATGTGTTTATATATATGTGTGTGCATATGTATATAGATATAAATATATAAGTTATGAATTAGCAAACAATATTATAAAACTGTATAAAGCCGATTGGCGTATAAATAAATAAATAAATAAATAAATAAATAAATAAATAAATAAATTATTTTGTAAATTTTTTTTTTTATAATTTCAATGAAATGGCTTGGCCGGTCGTTTTGCAAACCTAATCGCGGCTCTTCCTTATCGAGTTTAATCCAATAGTTTTTTTGAATTTCGAATTTTTAAAATCGATTCAGAATTGCGAGCTAAAACGTGAACGAAAATGTTTTCACTTTTTTGCTAATTACAAAGAAACGGCTTGGCCGATCATTGCGCTAATCAACGCGAATTCTTATTGGGATACATCGAATGACTTAAATTTTTGAAATCAGTAAACGGCTGAGTTTATTAGAAAATGTGACCGAAAACAAAATTAAATAGCACATTTTTTGAGAAACAAGTTAAAAATGTATTTAATGGAATCTATTACCTTCCAAAAAAACAAAAAAAAGCAGTAATTTAACTCAGAGTGATAAATCGAAGCAAAGGCCTACACAATGCATATTGTCTATATACCCGTACACCCGTACATACAGTCAAGCGGACGTGGCCTGTAAGCGACACTCGTAGCGAAAAGGTTAACAATGTAAAATAAAAGTTATCCAAAAACAAGTTTTTTAAATATTTCTCCAGTTTTAAGACTTAAGAAGGTAACTTTTACCTTCCATATAAACTGGATCCAATCCATCTCCTCCATAAATAAATTCCACTACTTGACCAACAGCATTTCGAACAGTGTTATCATAATGTACCACTATATCTTCTAAACATTTAACCAAACGTCTCTGAAGATAACCCGTCTCAGCTGTTTTGACAGCAGTATCAACAAGACCTATTTGAAATACAATACTATTATTAAATCAATAAGCTATTAGTCAATAAATGAAAAGCTATATTAACTATACAGCTGTATGAAAATATTCATGTCAATGTGTCTTCTAAATATTCATGTTATTGTGGTTTCTGAAGAATACATGGTTTAGCAAACTATTACATATTCTATTCTATCTAAATATGAATATTTGATTATAAATTTGATACTTTTTTTTTAAAAAAATAATAAATGATATTAATCAAGTACATTTTGCAGCAATTACCTTCTCTGCCAGCCATAGTGTGAAAGAAGAACTCTGTCGGAGTAAGACCAGAAAAGAAACTATTTTCCACAAAACCTCTAGAAGCTGGATTTTTTGAAAATTTCTCAAAATGAGGTAACGCACGATCTTCAAAACCATTTGGAACTCGCTTTCCATTTATGGCCTGTTGACCTACGCAAGCTATCATCTGAGATATGTTGATATTGGATCCTATAAATATAAAATAATATCAACTAAAGTATTTATTGTATGTCTCATATCGTTTTCCAAATATATTGTAACCCCGACATACGAGTGACCTGATATACGAGTGACCTTACATACGAGTGTATCGAGATATGAGCCCCCGAAGGAGCAGTTCATTTGTTTTGACATACCAGCAAAATTCGAGATACGAACTTTGCGCAAGTTAGAGTTTTCTTTAAAAATGTTAATGACAAAATGTAATTATGAAAAATGTTGTCAGTTGTAACAATTATTTTACAGTTAGTCATTATATATTAATATTCATTGCGCAGTAACGATTTAAACACGCGAATATGTCAAGAAATGTTTTGATATTCAAAATTTTAACTATATATTTAAAGTGATTACATTGTTATTAATCTTGAGTTTGCATCTTTTGCTTTTTGTGCATTTACAAAATATTATTTACTTTTGAAACCACAGGTCCAAAAAAAGGGCTATGACTCTTGAATTAAAGTGTGAAATTATTGAAAAATATGAGGATGTACGACAGAAATACATCATAGATATGTACTGTCTTTAAACAGAAGAAGTTGATAAAGGGTATAACTTCAGCTATGATGCTTACAATAATTTATAAACGTTTATAGATAAAAACCACACGGGTTCGAGCTTGAAAATTGTTCAATGAATTATGTCTAACACATTACCACAAGATTGTGAACGGACAGAAAAAATCAATAAATCAATAAATAGTAAATTTAATTTTAATATTCAAAAAACGTAACAGAAACCACAATGCTGGAACGAATGAATGACATATCAATGTACTTATATGAAAAAAAAAGCTTTGAGATACGAGCGATTCGACATACAAGCGTGCTTACACAACAAATTAAACTCGTATGTCGGGGTACCACTGAATACCAAAACCGCCGAAGCAGAATTATTTTTTCCGTTAAAAAGTATAATTTCAAGAGATTAAATAATAGAGACATTTAGATCAATAAAAACTATAAAACTTCTATTGCATATATATTCACATTTTGAATACCTTTGGAACCAGATTGTGCCATAATAAGTGGGGCATTTGTCGGTGGCAATTCAGCAAAACAGGCTTTAGCAGCTGTTTCTCTTATTGATGACAATTCCTTCAACATCATTGATTCCAATGTTTCCTCAGCAGTACAACCAGGCTGACATGTCAAAGTACCTGAAATAAATTTATCAGTAGCAAAAAATTGTAGAAGTATGTAGAAGTACATAAAAAAATAATTTCATTAACAAAAAAAAACTAGATTAACACCTTTTTTCATCTCAGCTATATATTCGTCGCATTTTTTATATCCTTGCTCTAGTAACATATTTTTGAGTTCAATAAGTCTGGCACTAGGTGTTACATCGCTAATGCCAAAACTGAATCCACGATTCATCAAGAAGTAAGAAGCTAGCCTGGCCAACCGCCACATAGCTTTACAAGCAACTTCTTCACCCCAATCTCGCAATAGAATGTAAAATATTGAATTCTTAGTGCCAGAACCTAATGTTTTCTTATCCATCGATCCACAGAGTAATTCTGAGTTTCTAAAATATTGGAAAACATTTTGATTTGCATAAAAACATCATATAAAAAAAAAATAGCAAAAATTGATTGTTAATAAATTTATGATACCTTATAATTACGAAAGAATCACGAACACACATGTCTTTATTTTTTGTGTAATTTCTTCCACTAGTAACAAGATTTGCCATAACTGGGCATTCTTTATTAGGTTTCAACAATAGACTAAATATTTGTTTTCCTGTAAATAATCTTCGAGGTTTCAATATGGCTGGCTCAGGTAAATCAATTTGCAATGTTGCATCTGGTCCAGCAAGAAAGCATGCTGCCAATTGCATAGCCTGCTCATGAGTCAAGAATTCATCTCTTTGTGTTAAAAGATAACCACCTAATTGAAAACCAAGAAAAATTATGATCAATATATATAATTAACAAATTTGGTTTTAATGTATTTTAACCCTTTGCCGAACAATAATGGTTAATAAATTTGTATGTTTAAATGGCAAACTGAATGATTACAACTACTATTAACATTATGGTTTTTCAAAAATCACCTGTGATAAAATCTTGTGTTGCTGCAATTGTTAACTCTCCATTTCTGGGTGTTACTAAGTTTGATGTATTTCCCATTAGGACAAGGGCCTCCGCTCTTGCTTCTTCAGTTTGTGGAAGATGCAAATTCATTTCGTCGCCATCAAAATCAGCATTATAAGGAGTGCAAACACATTCATTAAATCTAAAAGTTCTCTGGGGTTGAACTTTGGCTCTGTGACACATAATACTTAATTTGTGCAAACTAGGTTGCCGGTTAAATAATACCTGAGAGTTAAAACAAAAATTAATATTAAATTTAATATGCTTAGCGAAATATTAAATAGCTAATTCTATGGAATAATGTTATACTGATACACAGTAGATTAACCAAACAGTAATTCATTAACGAATTAATATTTTAAGAAAATAGTTAACCACTGGCTATTAACTTTCCGAAGAAAAAGTTTGTTTTCACAAAAATCGGAATTGCTAATTATATGTTTTCTCGACGTTTCGAGTCATTTTGAATCGTTTGAGATTAAATTTGCAAAAAGTATGGATAGGTTTATGTGAGCCGATTTGACCTTTTATCGACGTTTGCTCAAAAACGGCTGTAACAATTTTAAAAGTTCGTCATTCAATGTAACCCGACAAAGACTCGCGTTTACCAATTTTGAGCGACGACCGGCTTAACAAGCAAAAATCAGGACCGATTTATAAAATCCCACAACTATTAGAAATTTATCATTTGGAAATCATGCTGATTCATTTTTGGCAAAGATCCCTCGGGCAGTTCGTTCGTAATTGATTGTTAAAAATATTTTTTGCGATTTTAATAAAATTTTCTACAGCGTAATAAAATTCATGGCCAATGAACATACTGAAATATTATAGGCCTATGACAAGTGGTTTAATCATAATTAAAGTTTAGATTAATGAGCCGCGCTTTTACAAACTACACCGTGTATGTATTACGTATTACCAAGTGTTCGTTTTTGAATATTTTGTGATATTTAAACTATTTGTCAAAAACACCTAACATGTATAAATATTTGACAAAATTGAATACTTCGAATTCGTTTACTTAAAAATCACTCGAAATCATTTTTCAACATTTTAAGTAATTAATTGTTTGTTCATAAATACTCAACTGATATCATAAACAATTATCAGACAAATTAATATGCAATACTAAAAATATAAACTAGTGCATGGGTGCATGGCATCGTGCCTTAAGGCAAATTTCTGCAGCTTCCCGTACCGTAATAAAAAATCTTGGTACGGAACCCAAAAAAAAATTACACAAAATATGTACACGTTATCAAAATCTCTATAAAATATCTGACAATTTGATGTACATATGTCCAATAAACATTTTTGACCGCCAAATGATATTTTTTTCAACTTATTTTTATTGAGAGTCCATAACCGCTTGGCCTGCCTTCCCAAAAATTCAATCAGTTTTTCATCTTGTCAATATAAGTAAAATGTTTTTTGGATTATTAAAATCGGACGCTCCATTCTCTTAAAAACTGAGTTACCGTTTTTGGCACTTTTTGCCCCATATTTTCGGAACAGCTAAAACTGCATTCGCCAAAAACGAACCAGTACGTCTCCTTATCAATACAAATCGAATGTCTTTTAAAAAAAAAGTATTTTGGAAACAGCTCTACGCCCCACTTGCAAAAGGCTCCACAGGTTGACCATAGAATTATATATTGATTTCTTATAAATAAATAAATATTTTTTTCATAACTAAACACTTACCACATCTCCATCACATAGATGTCTTTCAACTGTATCACCGCATTTTAGTTCTTGAGCAATTTTTGCACGATTTCCGTATTGCAAAAATTTTTTGAAATCGCTGCCTTTCTGTTGTACATAGTTTGCTCCAGGATGTACATCTGGACCATTTTTCACGAGTTGTTTCATTCTTTGCAAATTAGCAGGATGTACTCGTTCAGGATATGTCAATACTTTTGCCACATATACAGGAACCCCAACCTTTTAAATAATAATATATTGAATATATACGAAATAAATAAAATGTACAATCATATTACAATTTTTCTTCTGTCAATTAGGTTAAATAAATAAATAAACCACATTTTTCAAACTGTTAAACAAAGTGACTAGTAACATTAACAATATAAGACCCAAACAAAAAAAACGATTTCTAAATATTTCTGAAATATGTTATTGACTTTGTGACGCTATCTCACCTGGTGAATTTGTAAATTCGGATCTGGAGAAATCACAGTTCTTGCTGAAAAATCAACACGTTTTCCAGAAAGATTACCTCGAAATCGACCTTGCTTTCCTTTCAATCTCTGAACTAAACCTTTTGATGATTTTTTTGGTTGCATTCCTAATGGTACACCAGTAACTTCACTATTAAAATAGAGAGCACAGTGAAGTTGCAAGAAATCCCAATCCTCTTGAATCAATTCTACTTTACCACCCGTTAGCATGTGTTTTTTTATCACTTCATTTATTAAAAGGATTTCTGACAGCTTCATAGTTAGATCATCTTCAGTCCTAAAATATTATTAATAAATATTCTTATTTATGTATATTACACTTTTGCAAAGACAGATCCAGCCGTTACGGAGATAAAGAGCAAAGAGTGCAGAAAATAGGAATCGAGTTTTTAAGAGAACAGAGCATCCGATTTGAATCATCTAAAAACATTCAATTTGTAATGATTGGGATAAGAGGTAATTAGTATTTGGCAAAGGCAGGTCCAAACATTTAGAAAATACAGAGCTAAATGTACCAAAAATGGCAGTTTTTGAGAGAAATAAGCAACCGATTTGAATGATTCAAATATCTTTCTGCTTGTGTTGACGAAATTGTAAAAAAGTGACTTATCAAGTTTCACTTAAATAATTCATTTAGTTTTCTTTTTGTATAATTTAGCAGTAATTTGTTCTATAAAATAAAGAATTCTTTTAAAAAGCTGTGAAAAAATATTAATTTTCTATAAATATAAAAAAAATTGAAAATTAAAAATGTCAAAAAGTTTTAATTATAGAATGTGATGAAGTAAAAGATCTAAAAAAAAGCTGGCACGTGACCATACGCATGATTTACGCCATAGTGCTTTCGAGCAAATTGCTGGAACTTCCCGTACCGTACCGAAATGTTCGAGGAATATTAAATGCTTTCAAATAGATTATTATAAATATTGTAACATTGTCGAATATTTATAAACTGAATTGCAAAGTTGAAATTATTTGTTTAAAGTATATTAGAACTTTAGCCAAAATTAAAATTAAAATCTTAATTATTTTCGATGTACAAAAAAAAAAATCATTCAAATCGGACGCTTAGTTCACTCAAAAACTGTCATTTTTTGCACATTTAGCCTTGTATCTTCGAAATTGCTGGACCTCCCTTTGCCAAAAACTAATCACCTCTTCTCCCAATCATTACAAATTGAATGTTTTTTTAGATTATTCAAATCGGATACTCCGTTCTCTCAAAAACTCGATTTGTATTTTCTGCACTCTTTGCTCCGTATCTCCGTAACGGCTGGACCTGCCTTTGCCAAAAACTAATCAGCACATCTCTCTATCGAATCGAATGTTTTTTGAACCATTCAAATCGGTTTATCCGTGCGCCCGAAAACGTGGACGAAAAAATACGCAGACATACAAAACACACACACACACATCCATTTTTGCTGAGATACGCCAAAGTGTTCAGAAACGTTTAAAACGTGAAGATATGCAAAAAAAATTATTTTCGATTTTCAATAACTAGCCTACGGAAAATTAAAAAAAAGATTATTAATCTAGAATAATGTCGTATTCATAGAATCTACGGACAAAAATAACCTTTTAGGATAATCTCGATTCGATCTTGAAAAAAGTAATAATCAGAATTTGGAGATGAGCCTAGTTCATACTAAAAAGAAGTCTATATAGAAGATTCTATAATAATTTCAAGTAAATTTGAACAAAAATATCTCCAAATATAATTTAAATTTTGAAAAATCTTGTACACATATTCTCGAATAGTTAAGCTTTAAAAATATCAAGAAAAAAAATTAATTTCTTAAAATTCTTCTAGGCTAGAATACCCTCTTAAGTCGATTATTTACGCATATCAAAAATTTAGCAAAGTAAGTTTAGCACTTACACCTAGATACTGTATCATATTATGTAAGTCATGAAATTAAATACGAGAGCGTATTTCGCCAAGCCGCCCATTTAATTTTTATGATAAATGAGCCTTAAATTAAGAGACTATCAATGCCATTATACTTGTATATAGTGGTATCCCGGCTTACGAGTGACATGATATACGAGTGTTTCGAGATACAAGCCGCCAAAAAGCGATTCGTTGCTTCGGCATACGAGCAAAACTCGAGATACGAGCTTTAAGCGACGTAGAAATTTCTCGAAAAATGTTAATGACAAAATGAAAATATGAAAAATTTCGTCAGTTGTAACAATGATGCCTCAAATTGGTTATTAACTATTTCTTACGTTCCGGCTTTGATGTCAGATACAACAGATGGCCTTATGCATACGGGTGGAACTAGTATTCTTGTTAAAATCAAATCTGCCGGTCGACTTCGTGTAGTATTCATTCCCAATAAAAAAATATTTGACTGAAAAAAAAAACAAAATATACATTACCAATATCATTGTATTATTTTAGTATTTTAATTATTTCCTACTTACATCTGGAACTTTTTTGAACAACTTTAAAACTTCCACAGGATTTAGATCTTGAGCTAATGCAGAATTTCCAACTTGACCCAAATCTCGATTTTCTTCCCTTGCTTCAGCCATCGAATCTATCAACAAATTATTAATTCAATAATCATGTTATGATAAAGACATTTCTTTATTTGCTTCATTACATTTATATAAAATATACCTAAATATGATGTTACTAGTGTATCTGTGGGTTTCTTTCCTCTAAATTTGTCATGTACAATTTTCATAAAGCCTCCAGGATTTTTTTTAACGATTCCATTTATTGCCTCACAATTTGGGCATTTAGACAACTTTTTAGCTTTATCTAAAACCTTTAAATATAATTTTAGATTTTAAATTATAATACACTGATGATGAGACAAACCTAGTCTCGAAACGTTTGTAAAATGAATATTATTTAATAAATTGGTGCAAAAAAAAGAGTGCTACTTGTTCATATTTCTGAATTAATATATATATATATATATATATATATATATCAAGATCATGTTTCTTGACAGATGTCCTGAAGATGGAACGTACCTAGTTCCAAAACGTCGACAGTAAATAAATAAAGAAATGTTTTTTCAAAAAAACTTTTATGTTTTTTATTACTCTTTGAATTTTTTGTTCAAAGCTCTACAATATAAATATATATATATATATATATATATATATATATAATTTTTCTTTTCAAATAAAAAAAAACTAACCTGTGCTCGTAATTGTTTTTTCTGTAAGCACGTTATATTAGGATTCATCATTCTCCTGGTTAATATCTTTTTATCTGCTGGTTTAAGCATTACATGACCACAAGTCTAAAAACATTCAATAAACGTGAATAACACAAAGTATATATATTGCATTTAAATTTACTTACTTTACATATTGTTTGTAAAATATTTATAATATGCTTGAAATAACCAACATGAAATACAGGTAAGGCCAAGTCTAAATAACCATAATGACCCATACAATCTGTTAAGCCCTTATTGCAAGTCTCACACTTCGCATCCTTTTCACTTGTTCCCTTAAAGGATAAAAATAAAAAATCATGAATAATAGTTAGTTAATATTTTTTTATGAATATTACAAATATGCAATATTGTTGGTATATTGCAACACCAAAAATAGTCGATTAAATAAAATGTTTATAAACTGTTTTGAAAACTAGTGATGTATGGCAACCTACTTAAATTGCTGGAACTTTCCGTACCGTAACGAAATGTTCAAGAAATATTAAATGTTTTCAAATAGATTATTATAAATACTGTAACATTGCCTAATATTTATAAAAATTATATAAACTGAATTACAAAGTTAAAATGATTCACTTAAAGTATATAAGTGAGCTTTAAACCAGAATTAAAATTGAAATCTCAATTATTTTCGATATTCAAAAAAAAATAATAATGATAAAAAAAATTGAAATTTTTTTTTTCCAAAAGCAATTATTTAGTCAATATAAGCAAAAAGTTTCTGAATCATTCAAATCGGATGCTTCATTCTCTCAAAAACTGCCATTTTTGTACATTTAGCTCTGTATCTTCTAAATGGCTAGACCTGCCTCTGCCAAAAACTAATCATCACTTCTCCCAACCATTACAAATGTTTTTTAGATGATTCAAATCGGATGCTCTGTTCTCTCAAAACTCGATTTCTATTTTTTGCACTCTTTGCTCTTTATCTCTGTAACGGCTGGACCTGGCTTTGCCAAAAACTAATCAGCACATCTCCCTATCAATAGGAATCTAATGTTTTTTGACCTATTCAAATCGGTTGATCTGTGCGCTCCAAAACGTGAACGAAAAAATGCTGACCCACAAAACACACACACATCCATTTTTCTGAGGTATTCCAAAATGTTCAGAAACCTTCAAAACGCGAAGAAATGCAAAAATTTTCATTTTCGATTTTCGGCCCATTACTACGGGAAGTTAATAATAAAAATTAACAGGGCAGTACGTATATTAGTGACAGATTAGTTTTTTTATTCAAATGCATTAACTTTAACATATCTATCAGCAAATACATTTTTTTTTTATAATTTTCCTTCTTTCGAGGGCAATTTGTTTATCCCATTTTTGAAAAATGTTTCATAATTTAGATGCAAAAAATTGCATCTAATTCTTTACCCAATTCATTTTTGCTCAAAAACTTTTTTCACGACAAAAGCAAATGATAATTAGAAAATTGTATTCATCCCCCATTATCATCTAGTCCAAAAAGGATTCGATTTTGTTCCGAGCAAGCAAAGAAGTAAATATGACAATTCAATCATCTAAATTTTTCTGTCTTATTCAAGTAGCGCGTATCTTGAATAGTTCCGAACCAATTCTATCTTTCGAATAGAGTCATACATGTTTATAAACTATAACTAGTATAACTAGTGGTTTATGGCATCGTGCCTTAAGGCATATTGCTAAAACTTTATGTACCTTAATAAAATATTCGGGAAAGGTTAAATGTTTTCAAATTCATTATTATAAATACTGTAACTTTCATGATTCTTATTTTATAAAAAGTAAATAAACAAAACCTAATTGGCTTCAAAATGCAGGACATTGTCTAATATTTCTAATCGGGCTAATTGTTGTCGATAGGCATTCGGATAATCGAAAATCCGGATAGTCGAATGTATGAAGAATAATGTTGTGTATTTATTAAAAATCACAAATGTATACATACATATCAAGGAAAATCATGTTTATTAATAATTTGAAACTTTTTTGTGTATGCACATACATTTTTCTAGATTACATTACATACATATACTATACTGCAGCATTAATCTTACAAAAATTCGAATTGTATTTATGTACAGTCAACCCTCCGTTAACACGTCATTCTGGGTACAAGGTTCCCATACTACGCGGAGGTAAAAATCCGACATCCCTCCGACTACACGGACTTCCTATTGCACGGTTTTTGTTCAACAGCCCATAAGTTCCTTGCGCAACCTATGAGTGATTCTAAGTAAGTAAGTTTTGTTATCGACTTTTGTCTTTTAGACGTGCCTGACTATATAATATCTTTCGCGCCAATTTTTAAATAAAGTGTCTATTAGGGTTTGTCGGTTTTCAAAAACCGGCTTTTTGATGAAAATTATGAAATTCGAAAACCGCTTTTTAGCGGATAAAATCGGTTTTTGCTGTATAAATGGAGAATGACAAATATACTAGACAGAAGCAAGCGTTTTAATACTTGGAATCATACGGTTCGATAACATTTGGAATCAGTCTGTTATAGTTCCAAGAAAGATGAAGTCTTATCTTTTGTCAAATGTATATATTAATTTAGATTATTATGTCAATGTATATATCAATTGAGATCAATGTGACTTCTTGTTGAGGTAGTTAATTGCTTCACTCAAACTTCAAAAAGAATTTTCAGCCCTACAAGCCACAAATAAAAAAACAAAATCTTCAGAACTATATTATCACGCTTTAATAATGATTAAGCCTAGTTCGGTTCCAAATGAGAAAGTATTTTCTATTTCGGAAAATTTTGTGCGTAAACGAAGGACACTTCTAAATAACACGTAAATAATGATTAAGCCTAGTTCGGTTCCAAATGAGAGAGTATTTTCTATTTCGGAAAATTTTGTGCGTAAACGAAGGACACTTCTAAATAACACGTAAATAATGATTAAGCCTAGTTCGGTTCCAAATGAGAGAGTATTTTCTATTTCGGAAAATTTTGTGCGTAAACGAAGGACACTTCTAAATAACACGTAAATAATGATTAAGCCTAGTTCGGTTCCAAATGAGAGAGTATTTTCTATTTCGGAAAATTTTGTGCGTAAACGAAGGACACTTCTAAATAACACGTAAATAATGATTAAGCCTAGTTCGGTTCCAAATGAGAGAGTATTTTCTATTTCGGAAAATTTTGTGCGTAAACGAAGGACACTTCTAAATAACACGTAAATAATGATTAAGCCTAGTTCGGTTCCAAATGAGAGAGTATTTTCTATTTCGGAAAATTTTGTGCGTAAACGAAGGACACTTCTAAATAACACGTAAATAATGATTAAGCCTAGTTCGGTTCCAAATGAGAGAGTATTTTCTATTTCGGAAAATTTTGTGCGTAAACGAAGGACACTTCTAAATAACACGTAAATAATGATTAAGCCTAGTTCGGTTCCAAATGAGAGAGTATTTTCTATTTCGGAAAATTTTGTGCGTAAACGAAGGACACTTCTAAATAACACATAAGTAATGATTAAGCCTAGTTCGGTTCCAAATGAGAGAGTATTTTCTATTTCGGAAAATTTTGTGCGTAAACGAAGGACACTTCTAAATAACACGTAAATAATGATTAAGCCTAGTTCGGTTCCAAATGAGAGAGTATTTTCTATATCGGAAAATTTTGTGCGTAAACGAAGGACACTTCTAAATAACACGTAAATAATGATTAAGCCTAGTTCGGTTCCAAATGAGAGAGTATTTTCTATTTCGGAAAATTTTGTGCGTAAACGAAGGACACTTCTAAATAACACGTAAATAATGATTAAGCCTAGTTCGGTTCCAAATGAGAGAGTATTTTCTATTTCGGAAAATTTTGTGCGTAAACGAAGGACACTTCTAAATAACACGTAAATAATGATTAAGCCTAGTTCGGTTCCAAATGAGAGTATTTTCTATTTCGGAAAATTTTGTGCGTAAACGAAGGACACTTCTAAATAACACATAAATAATGATTAAGCCTAGTTCGGTTCCAAATGAGAGAGTATTTTCTATTTCGGAAAATTTTGCGCGTAAACGAAGGACACTTCTAAATAACACGTAAATAATGATTAAGCCTAGTTCGGTTCCAAATGAGAGAGTATTTTCTATTTCGGAAAATTTTGTGCGTAAACGAAGGACACTTCTAAATAACACGTAAATAATGATTAAGCCTAGTTCGGTTCCAAATGAGAGAGTATTTTCTATTTCGGAAAATTTTGTGCGTAAACGAAGGACACTTCTAAATAACACATAAATAATGATTAAGCCTAGTTCGGTTCCAAATGAGAGAGTATTTTCTATTTCGGAAAATTTTGTGCGTAAACGAAGGACACTTCTAAATAACACGTAAATAATGATTAAGCCTAGTTCGGTTCCAAATGAGAGAGTATTTTCTATTTCGGAAAATTTTGTGCGTAAACGAAGGACACTTCTAAATAACACGTAAATAATGATTAAGCCTAGTTCGGTTCCAAATGAGAGAGTATTTTCTATTTCGGAAAATTTTGTGCGTAAACGAAGGACACTTCTAAATAACACGTAAATAATGATTAAGCCTAGTTCGGTTCCAAATGAGAGAGTATTTTCTATTTCGGAAAATTTTGTGCGTAAACGAAGGACACTTCTAAATAACACATAAATAATGATTAAGCCTAGTTCGGTTCCAAATGAGAGAGTATTTTCTATTTCGGAAAATTTTGTGCGTAAACGAAGGACACTTCTAAATAACACGTAAATAATGATTAAGCCTAGTTCGGTTCCAAATGAGAGAGTATTTTCTATTTCGGAAAATTTTGTGCGTAAACGAAGGACACTTCTAAATAACACATAAATAATGATTAAGCCAAGTTCGGTTCCAAATGAGAGAGTATTTTCTATTTCGGAAAATTTTGTGCGTAAACGAAGGACACTTCTAAATAACACGTAAATAATGATTAAGCCTAGTTCGGTTCCAAATGAGAGAGTATTTTCTATTTCGGAAAATTTTGTGCGTAAACGAAGGACACTTCTAAATAACACGTAAATAATGATTAAGCCTAGTTCGGTTCCAAATGAGAGAGTATTTTCTATTTCGGAAAATTTTGTGCGTAAACGAAGGACACTTCTAAATAACACGTAAATAATGATTAAGCCTAGTTCGGTTCCAAATGAGAGAGTATTTTCTATTTCGGAAAATTTTGTGCGTAAACGAAGGACACTTCTAAATAACACATAAATAATGATTAAGCCTAGTTCGGTTCCAAATGAGAGAGTATTTTCAATTTCGGAAAATTTTATGCCTAAACGAAGGACACTTCTAAATAACAAATCAATAGACGTCCTCAACTTTTAGCAACCATATTTCATTATATCAAAAAATAATTAAATATTTGAAATTAATTAATTAAAATTGATCGGAATAGAATAAACTTGGGGTTTTATTTAATTGTTTTTAAAACTAAAATTGACATTAACAAGTATGTATCAATATGTATCTGTTTAATTACAAGTTAGGTTTTTTATTTGAAAATGTATTATTTTTATTTATACAAACTCTTTTTTTTTCACTATCATACGAATATTTATAATCTCATATGTGAAAATGATGCATGTATAATGAATAATCATTTTCAAAGTTATTTAATCCAGATTAACTATTATTTCTTTATTCTACTAATTAAAATAAATTTGTTTACTATTCATAAAGTTGAGCATTAAATAAATTTAGTCAAAAACTGCTATAAATGACACTAAATTTGCCAAATTTTCTTTTTTTGTTATTAGAGAATATTCGAGCAAAAATCAATTTTTTATATAAAATTCAAAAACCGGCTAAAACCAGTTTTCTGAGAAATTTACAATTGGAAAACCGGATATCTGAAATGTCGGTTATTGTATAAACCCCAGTGTCTATGTCATACATGTCATTTCATCCGTATCACTCCTACTTCGAGTTGTATTCCTTCGTCTTCATACAGCACGATAAAAATGGTGCAATTTATACTAACTCTGAGTCTCTTATAGCATGGTTCCCATACTATATAAGTTTCCATAGAACGCACTACGAATTAGCTTGAATTGTATGTTAAATACGAGTTTTTTATAGCACGGTCCCCATACTGCACGGTATGCACTTGCCGCGTTAAACGAGGGTTGACTGTATATATATATATTTATATATATTACCATTCTACGATCCATAACTCCATATTGCGTTGGAATTCGTTGGCCCCCTTGACTATACAAATTTTTATCAAATATTTGAATGTGAGCTTGTTGCTGAATGCTCTCAGCACTATCCACTCCGAAAGTAACATGTGAACTGAAAATGTAAAAGAGGCGTATAAAAATTTTAAATTCTAAGTTTAAACTTTTAGTACCATGCTTACATATCTTTTACTCGATCCGTTTGTCTGAATTGTTCTTTCGGCATTGTATAAAATGTATATTACTTATAAATATGATATACAATAATTTCCTCTATATTTATTTACATTTGAAATACTGTTAAAACAAATAGAAACCAAAGTAATATATTATTTATATTTAAATTTCTCTCAAAATGTACATGTTATATTTTGAGGTTATATATTGCATTTCATATGTCAACATAATATGAACGTGGGATCAGTTCAACACGAAATTATCTGCATATCTTAATGTGTTTAATCAAAAGTTGAAAACAATGTTACCAACAGAAAGTAAATGAACCGTTACTTTTTCGATTTCAGCTGAAAGAATCATAGATAAAAGAAGAGTTTAAGAATCATAAGAAAGAAGAAAAGTATAAGAAAAAAGAAGAGTATAAGAATCATAAGAAAGAAGAAAGAATCATAGATAAAAGAAAGAATATTTGATTTTTTTTTATTCAAAAGCAATCTACCACATCCTGGCGAAAACGTACTTACTCTAAACATAATATTATTGTGTATAATTTTAGAATCATATAAAGGCAATATGATACAATTTGTTTTATATGAATTTATTTATTCATTTTATTTATTTTTTGCATAAAAAACATATATTTACAATAATATCTAAATTTATTTTTATGACTTATTTTATGAATTGCTCAGTCGTTTTGCTCAGTCATTAAAAAAAGATTATATAATAAAAAAAGGTAAAAATTACTTAGAAAATAATTAATAATAAATTTTGAAAAGATATCACTCTCTTGTCTTATCACTACTTAGATGCTTATTCATCTATGTTTAGATATGTCGCTGAGCGGCGGCGGCGCATTTGATTTTAACTCTGCGCAGTATTCGGCCGTAGTCAATAATAATATATATTATTTAAGGCTCTTGTCAAGATTATTCATGATTATAATATTGAAAGGATAGTAATTCTATATTAATCATAGTAGCTGCACGAAAAAAGAAGAGCTGAAAAAAAGCATTCGAACATTAAATACAATGTTCATCATCAAGTTCATCATATTAAAGTCTATTAGACCACCAGTCAAGCTCAAAATTCTTGCACAAGGTTGAAAGTGATACTCATTTAAAACCGTAAAAATTTAAATTAATAAAATAGCAATAAAAACACATGGTTGTACAGGCGATCAAATGGTCAGACTACATAGATAAAGGATAGGGATTATGCAAGAAAATAGTTATTGAAATCAAATTGAGAAAATTCAGCAATGTCACAAAAAGCTGATTCTTTAAAAAGTTTAACTATAGTTAAACTTTTTGAAGAATTAGCTGTATAGGGATGCATGAAATTTTTTGTTGTCTAAGTTTCGGATATTGAGTGGAAGTTTATTCATAAGCCGAATACCTAAACCGTCGATCGTATTGAAAAAGCTGGCTAATTTATATGTGCGCGCCTTAATAAGTTTGTGTTGTAGTTTGAGGTGGAGAAGTCATATCAAAAAGTTTCGCATTGTTTTTGATGAAAGATAATGTTACCAGCAGAAAAATGCATGGGACAGTTAGAATATTGTGTTTTTTTAAATATGGGTCTGCAAGAGGCTTTACTGGGCAAGGAAAAAATTATTCGAATAAAACCCCAGAATTGTATGCCGTATTCCGAGTAAAAGTGCCAAATGTGCCGAATATAGCGAATACCGAATAGTAGCCGAATATTCGGTGCAAGTCTAATATATATACCAATAATAATTATAATGTAAACTTACAATATTTAAGTAAAGTAAAAATATCATAAATTATTGCAACAAAAAAAGAATAAATTATAATTTATATAATTATAGAAGAAATTTGATGAAATAATTAAAATTTTACTTTAAGAAAACCCGCTGGCCGCGTTTTGCGCATCCTTGATCTATTGTATTCAACGCTTCAATACAAACTGAGATATAAGCTAAACCTTCAGATATATGTATTTATATAGCCTTCTAGTTAAATAATTACATGCCATATATAGTCTTTTTATTTTAAAAATTCCTGAATCCAAATCCTGTAATAATTATGAATCAACTTTAATTGATGCGAAAATAAAATATTTTTCCACTTTTGGCACAAATCATATATTTTGGCACAAAATAAATTACAACATATATAATGATAATGCTAATTGTAATGCTATGTCAAATTAAATAGAATAAAAAATAACAATCATAAATTCATAATTAAAGCTACCATTCAATAACATTAAACATCAATAAAAATCTTTCCTAAGAACTATGTCATATATAATATTAAAAATCAATATATATATATATATATTCTTTGAACAATAATTTATAAAAATTTGTTGTTAAAAATCTTGATGTATTGATAAGAAATAAATTTGATATAGTATACAAATTTTTCAACTACAATATAGAGTTATATATAATCACAGAGATATAGAAATGAATGTAAGATTTTTAAAACACATCACGTTTGTAATGATCCGTATGTGCCAACTGGGGGCCGGTAAGCCAGAGGAAGCGCTAACACTTGTAAACTGTTAAAAGCATATTTTCTAACATTGATATTTTTGTAGGTATTATCTATTCTGCAGCCTTGGCTTCGCATTGCATTTAAGGCCTTAGGAAACTCCTGAGAAGACAGATGAAAATCTTGGGATAATATTCTGCATTGTTCTAAAGTGACAGACATGCCTGTTCTGTCTTTAGCACTTTTGCAACTGGTGAATCTAAACCCGCGTATATTACGACATATATCACCAGCTAGATGCAAAATTTCTACATTCTTACTTCCTGAGTTGTGAAGACATATTTTTAATTTATCTACTAAACTTTGTACTCCTGGACACGCGGTAATTTTTTGGTATTGCTGATAATAAGATACTAATCGACTGTAGTTATCCAAATTTGATTTTCGTTGTTGAACACTTTGCCCCAAAGCTTCTGCCAGAGTAACTTTTTCATTTATACCAACGTTGAAGAATACTGGAGTTACTTTGAAAACTACTGGTTGCTTAGAGATTGCATGATTCGGTGCAGGAATTGTGACTGTTAAATTTGTTCGACTTCCAGTAATATGAGGTATGACTCCTCCTAGTTTCATACTCTGAACTCCTTCTAGCCTGAAAGTTACTGTGGTTAAATCCTCTATAGCGACAATCATGTCACCCCACATATCGAGTTCTGAACCATGTAATGTAAGCAAACCTTCAAAACTAGCAAAAGCGCCGATAGTGGACAAAATGTGCATAAAGTCATTATCTATGGGGCCTCCCCACAGTCTGGCACACATACCTGTAACTAAGGATGTCAAAGCTTGGGAAAAACAAATATCCCTCCTCAGTTGCAAGGATGCACTTTTCCGTGCAGCCCGTGGGTTTTGTTGCAATCTAAAAACAGAATGGGTCAATCGAGCTGTTTTTAGATATCCGTCCATTGCCTGTCTTAATTTACGCATCGAAGGCCTGAGCTCGCCCACCCAATCATTCGTTGTAGATAAATCAAGACCGTCGGTAAACTTATTGCCTCTGGGCGTAGGTTTTGGCGTCGTCGATTCAATCGAACCATTACTATCTTTATCATTTTGTGAGTTAGCCAAGCGCATCCTAGCTGATTGTCTTTGTGTCTTCAACCTTATGGCAGGGCTCCCACATCGGCCGCATAAAAATTTCACTTTGCTAACTAAACACATAATGCTTGCCTCAATGTTTAGCTGTGTTAAGTCCCATGGTTCAGGTTCTTCGGTAGGTTTGTAATAATTTGAAGCAGGCGATGATAGAACGCTATCCACACTTGATTTCGATATCATTTGGCACTGCTTTCTTGAAATTACTTTGTCAATAGTGCCGTTGATATCAAAATGTGTTTCGTTAAAAGTCAAAGATGGTTGTTGCAATTCTTCTGTAATAGGCCACTGTTTAGAAGGTAAATGAGGGCTGGAGAAGTCTTCAAGATCAGGTGATGCAATTTCTAAATTATCAAATTGTTGTGTTATACGTCGAAATGGAGAAAGCTCCGACGGTGATTTTGCTTCTATAAAACCAGAATCGTTTTCAGATGTTTTGTCTGGAACAACTTTTTGTGCGTCAATGAACCGGAGAGCTTCTTCAACAAAACCGGCGTCCCAAATTGTTAGCAAGCTTTTAGATCGATTAATCATATCTTCACATAGAGGCATCATACCACTAGATTGTTTAGTCTTAGCTAAAGCTAATAATTGAATCATACAATCTACCAGCTGCCTTCTAAGTTGTTTAATAGCTTGAATAGCATTATTAGCTGCATCAACTTTACAGGAATTATCTAAATCTTTTTCTGGCAGCTGCTTTAACTGTTGAACTAAACATACAAGACCTCCTGTTTTCGATGAGTTGCAAAGCGATGCAAATGCGCCAACAGTAACTATATCATTTATAGCCCCTCTTCCCAATGTATCATTATGTGCCCACATGCGTTGCAGGTGCAAATTAGTTGGGGCAAACTCTAGTGCCGGTTCAAATTTTGATGAACTAGGTTTATAATGTGAGGTATTGTTATCTGTAGATTTTTGTAGCTGAAGCTGCAAATGCTGTTTCGCTTGAGAATACTTCTGTAAAAGATGTAAATGCCTGTCAAGTAATTGAATTTGTGGATTTCGCCAAGCACCACCAAGTTCTCCCATAGCAGATACTTCTTGCAGAAGTTCCTTCTCATGCTCTATCCATAAACTGAGAAGTTGTTGAGGAAGAGCAAAACACAATTTACTTTCTAACATTATTTCTACGACACATATTTCACCACCCAGTCCAGAATGCATACGATATGTGTGCAAGCAAGCATTTGAAAATAGAGTTTGTAGATTTGCTTGTGATGGAAAACACTGCTTTCGTATTAGCCTGGGCGGCAAAGAATGTGACCTTCTATGGTGAATAGTATTTTGCACTGGGGCAGATATAGCTGGAGATCCTGGCGTCTTGTGTTCAACCTCAGGAATGGATACTACAATAGTTATAAAACCACAAGTACTCCCGCTAGAACATTTCAATGGTATTCGAACCTTATTAGCTTCCATTATATTTCCAAGTACAACTGTGGAAGATCCAAGAAAAGTTGCAGTATTAGACATCCTTTCATAAATATCAAATACAGTAAATTGCAATTTGGAAGATGTGTCCAAGCCATCGCTAGAGTACAAATTAATTGTCGATAAAAAGCATGGATTACTACTTCTTTGAATAATCTCTGTTCTCCCATATTTAATCCATAAGTCACTGGTCAAGACACGTAATTCAACAAAAACACTGGGTGGTCGGCCATGGCCATCACATAACAAGTTATCACAACTCATGCATATTTCACACAAAGGGGATTCATATAAATCCACAGACGTTACTTTCTTATTCCTCCATATTTTGAGTTCCAATGTTCTGCTAGCGGAATTCCCTTTGGAGTGATTTTGCAGCTGCGCTTGTAAATTATTTAACTTAGTTCTCATACAATTATAGCTTGCCGACTGCAAAGCTTTGAGCCATGACGTACGATCATTTTCTGTAGCAGCTGCCATACGTTGACTTATACCTCCTTCGTATGTTAGAGAAAACGGCCATAAGCCACTGGCATCAGGGGGCTCCTCGCTTGCCGTACAGTGTTCTAGCACTAATAACCCAGCAGCCTCCGACCAGGGCTCTGCGTCTCTTAAATAAAACAGAAGATTGCCACGTAAACGGCACCATCTACCCTGCAAAACCTTGCTCCCGGCACCTACGCAACTCAAACGATTCGATTTGCGTTTATCCTTTTGCTCTGAAATATAATCAGGACCGTCATTTCTTCGAAAGAATCCCTCTTGCTTTTCCCTGAGGAACAGGACACCCTCCCTGTCGAATCGGTGCGAAGGCTGAACAGCCAAAGCTTCCAATTCTGTTTTGTTAAACCTCATTCCGACACAGTTGTTGATGACCCACTTTCTTCACAGGGCATTATGAATGGTGTTTGACAACAGCTTATTTGAAATTAACATCAGTAAAATACATCGCTTGCAACATTACATCGAGTTCAACCAAAAGGTCGGGCCGTAAAAAACTACAGGCGAACCGAAAAGCTCACATTTTTTAAGTAAAATAATACAATAACCCATTACACTAAATTCACAGAAATGTCAAATGCACCAGTGTTACCTGATGCAAATTGTTTGACGTTTAAAGACGCAGATAAAACCATAGATAAATTAAAGACATAGATAGATAAATAAAAACCATAGATAAATATAAACATAGATATAAACATAGATACATAAGTATAGCCATAGATAAGTAAACATAAAGAGTATATACTTCATTCATTATGTTTACTTATCTATGATATACTTGTTTATCTATGAAGAGTATCTACCGTCAATAAAAATCCATAAAAATAATAAAAATCGTCAAAAAAATTTTTTTAACACACAACATAAAAAAAACTAACCAGCACGATTCCCAACAAATATTTTTCAAACGGTTTTTGAATTTTCAAAATCGATTCAGAACTGCGAGCAAAAATGGAAACGAATTTTTTTTCATTTTTCTGCTATTTATAAAGAAAGGGCTTGGCTGATCGTCGCGCAAAATTGATAAACGGCAGTTTTCATCGAGATACATCGAATGGCTTTTAATTTTTTTAAATCGGTCCTGCCGTTTTTGAGAAAACGTCGATTTACGGCAAAAAATCTCTCATTCGATTCAGAATGGGTTGAAACGCCGAGAAAACATATATAAAATTAGCAAATCGGATTTTTTGATGAAAAAAAACTTCTTATACTATATAATATATATATATATATATATATATATATATATATATATATATAGATTATTTTCATATCTCAGTCAGGCAGAGTTGCCTGGTATAAGAGACTATGAAAAACAGTTTTCATATAATATCAAACTTTCATATATTATCAAACATAATTTTTGTTACCTCTGTAAATTCAAATAACATCTATATCAATAAATTAGATGATTTTTATGAAATAGAAAGAAATTTTCACAACACAATAAAAACACAGCCAAATTTAATATTTAGCAAAAAATATTATAAAATAATATGATAAGACCACGTTTTCCTTATCTATGGATAAGACAGTAGAAATTGTTATTAACCAGGTTTTGTACATCTTCACTTTATTATGCATAATTGGCAATTACATAGATTTATTTATTGCAATTTCAAATTCTACTAGAGCGTTTTACTTATATTAATTACATAATAAATAATTAACATAATTTAATTGCATATAAATTTGTAGTTTATAGAATACATAAAATTTATATTAAATTTTAAACCATTTCGATTATTGTCAAATATTATATTTATAAATTCATTTTGTATCCAATTAATTTTAAGTAGAACTTCATATTGAAAAACATAACATTTTATATTATCTGGATCATAAAGTTCCTTTGGCTGTTGCTTATTGTAATACAAGTAGGTACTAGCAAGTTTTGAAGAAGTAAAAATTATAATAGATGTTTATGATTTAAAATTTGTTTTTTTAACAGGTAGTTCTCTGTTATGAGATTCAAAAATGTATTTTATAATCGTATCTAATAATTTTATAATTTATAAACAGAGATGGTTCAATTTTTTTTACAAAAAATATAGATCTTTAACATACTTTATATTTGTTTCTACTACTATGACTAGTGTCATAAGATTTCTTAAATAGAACACGTGTATCAAAATATAAAAAATATTATCATGATATAAATATTAATAAATAAATATTTTTTTATTTGATTTCATATTGAAAATATTGTACAATAAAATAAGTAAAAAAAAAAAAAACACATCTCGAATCATGTTATGTCCTGGAAAATATCATTAGGCATTGATCAGCAAATATAATTGTATAACTTAAAAATGAAAATTAATTTTGGGCGTTATGTTTTGAATGAATATTAATTTTGCTTGCTTGGTAATTTATGATGATGTCATTATATTGTAATGAAAACGTTTTAGTGCCAACGTGGCAAGTGGTGAAATGCATAATTCTAATTTAGACGTTGTTCTTAGAATTGTAACTAATATATCTTGTACTATTTAATAATATCAGATCCATAGAATTTGTTATCAGATGGAATATTCAATAAAAAAAAATAAAAACCTTAATAACCGAGTCAATGAAAATAAAGTATCTAGAAATCAGGCAAACTTATTAGAAAGTCCATAAAAAGATCTTATTCATTTTAAGTATATGTAAATTCGACTGCAGCAAAATTAATATTTAAAAATCAGCATTTCGCCCAAAACTGAGTTTATAATACATAAACCTTTTATATACAGAAAGAGAGCAATTTCTATACATTTGCGTATGTGTAAAATTATTCAGAGTAATTACATACTTTGTATTTAATATACTTATATCACATCCATAATGCAATTTACCTAGTCTTATGTAAAGAATAAATAACATCAAATAGGATTATTACAGGTATAAGACTATTAATTTATATTAATAAAATTGGTTAACCATTCCATAGTCAATTCTTTAATATATTCATATATTGGATCTTAGAAAAATAAATACATGTATGACTATCTAAATTTATAGGTACTAAGAACGATTACATATTACAAGAAAAATAGCAAAAAAATACAGAGTATATTAACTTTTTTGAAACCAAACTTAAAATGAAACTCTGCTCAATTTGCTATTAATCTAGCTGTTTACAGTATACCAGCAGTGAAACAAATATCTTCGATGGAGTCTGGGAACAAGTATTTTTTTAAAGGTACATTTCTAATAGTGTTCAAAATCTTATTTATTTTTCCTGCAAAAATTATATCAGTAACAATGATCAATTTCATGGTTACTGTTAAAAATGAATCAAAGATATAGATTTCTTTTAACAAAATCTCAAAATTCAAAACTGTATGAGAATTGTACCTCACAATTCTAATCAATTTTTTACATATATTCCTTTGTTCATGATAGATTATTGTATACATTATTTGCATTAGCTTTGAAAATTATTTGATCTTTTTTATTTAAATGATACAGAATAAACATTAAGAAGTACGAAGTAAAAAATAAGATATTTTAAAAGTTATATAAAGATCATGCAACGAATAAACTAGTATGGTTAAATATACTTAAAATAAATTTTCCACAGCTAATACTTTCATAAAGCGTAGTATTCTCATAATATTCGATAAAAAAATTAAAAAAATATTATTTATTTAAATGCATGAAAATACCAAACATAAATTACGTCATTGGAAAAACTATGATTTTTGAGATTT